TTTTTTTTACTGCAATAAAACTGTTGAAGGTGGGTAAAACAGAGAACCTGAGTACATACCTTATGTCTCGTACAATGTACGGTTCCCTTGACTTGATCAGCAGACCACAGATCGGTAAAAATCCAACCGACACGTCTCAATCCTAACCAGGCACATAGCTGATCAACTGCCTGAAAAATAACATGTAACTTCGATAGCAAAAGGAAACCAGAACAACCTTCTCATTCGGGTCAATGCTCAATTCCACACCATCAGGACTAGAAGTTTGCGGAGGCTCATAGATAGCAGCAACTGTAGCCTTTATACCAAGAGGCACATCGGCGAAAGGTTGATATCTGAACCCTCAGTAAGCTATCATTAACAAAACGCTAAGAACTCACTTTCCAATCAGAAAACCAACGCGCTGGTTCCCGGTGGTCCTCCAGAAGTTCAGAAAATCATTTACAAGATCTTGATTCTCGAAGAATATATTGTCAACGTGTCGATATTTCTGTAAAAAATAGTTTGAAGAAGAAATCGAATAAGTGACAGCATGTTCTGGAGACTATTTTAGAATTCAGAAAGATTTCGAAACATACGATGATGACAATCACAATTAGTTTAACTAGAAAAACTTTACAGGATATAAGATTCCCATTTAGCCTTAATCAACCACCTATCTTCCGTTATTTTATACACGAGGAGTAATCACACACTATGTAAAAACTCGGTAGAATGAAGAAAATGATTTATATAAAGATGAGAAGTATGCAAGTGTAGTGGTGAATGTGATCAATTGACACAAGAGGAAAAATGAATGATACCGAGACATTAGAAAAAAAACACCTAAGAAAAGAATCACAACTGGAATAGAAGCATACCTGTCGATTCAAGGTCATTACTGGTGGTTTACATTTCGTACAAACTCCTAGCGGGTACGGCTTGTGTGCTGGACAGTTCAAATTTATTGAACACCTGCAGAAGCAACTATAGCAGATATGGTGGTATCAAAAATTCTTACCTTATATTTTCTAGGGGGCGCTTCAACTGGGAGCCTTTACCATGTCCTGATGTCAATTTTCTAACATGTGCATGGAACGACATATGCT